TGTCGTCGTCGTCGTCGCTGTCGTCGTCGTCGGTGTCGCTGCCAAGTGCCATTTGGTACATACCATCACGGTCTTGAGAGGTCTTGCGACCAAGTTGCGGGTGGGAGGGTGGGATGTTTGCACGAGCGGTGGAGAGGACAGCAATAAGACAGTCAACATTTATTCTCCTTTCGGAACGAAAAATAGGCTCTACCCCTCCCGCGGGAGTCCCCCCGAATAATTGATTTCCCTCTTCGCATTGCAATTTACATATGACTCTGCCTCATCGTCCATCCTAAATATGAATTTCTACTATCCCAGCCAGGCCAGTATCGCCCCCCCGCCATCCTCTGCAACAAATAGTCTGCGCGCGCTCTCGTTTATCACAGATGATAGGTTTTCACAGATCCCTTGCAACAGACGGGATGACGTGCAGACGCGCGCGACGTCGCGCGCGCATTCCAGACTCCTTCAAAAAACTTCGGTTTCGGAAAGATTTCAACATCGAGTTTCCCAAAAAACACAAACAACACAGGATTTCGCAGCACGAGTTTTCTAAAAAACGCTTACGCGCGCGCTGTTGCGAGAGCATAAGAAAACCAGAGGTTTTCAAGATTTCCACCACAAAAACTACCAAAACGGATTCGCGCGCGCGCGCGCATGTCGAAATCTTTCGAACGCCCGTGCGCGCGTGCCGTCGCGAGAACCCTTAGCAAAACACGAGACGAAATGCAGACGCGCGCGGCGTCGCGCGCGCATGCCGGAATCCTTCAAAAACCTTCTGTTTCGGAAGGGTTCAGAACCGTGCCCAAAAACCATACAAAAACACAAGATTTCGCAACGCGAATTTTCAACAACAGCGTGCGCGCGCGCTCTTGCGTCGTCGTCGTCGTCGTCGCCGTCTTCCCTCCTCCTTCGTCGTCGTCGTCGTCAACTTGGCGTCGTCGTCGTTTCCGTCGTCGTTGTCGCCGTGGTCGTCCTTCCTCCCTCGTCGTCATCGTCGGCGCCGTCGTCGTCGTTAGCGTCGCTGTCGTCGTCGTCGTCGTCGTCCCTCCTCCCTTGTCGTTGTCGTCGTTTCCGTCGTCGTCCTCCCTCCTCCGTCGTCGTCGTCGTTTTCGTTGGCGTCGTCGTCGTCGTCGTCGTCATCGTCTTCGTCGTCGTCGACGGCGTCGTCGTCGTCGTCGGCGTCGTCGTCGTCGTCGTCGTCGTCGGCGTCGTCGTCGGCGTTGTTATCGCCGTCGTCGTCGTCGTCAGCGTCGGCGTCGTCGTCGTCGGTGTTGTCGTCGTCGTCGTTGTCGTCGTCGAAGTCGTTGGAGGGTAGACGTCGTCGACGTTACCATGATACCGCGCCCGCCCAAGTCGCCGACTCGCAATGAAATGCCTGCTAGTATGTGCCCAACGATCAGCGCCACCGCGACCGCGTCGGTCGCGCCAAGCCAGCTGGCCGCTGCGCGCGCCTGCTTGGGTTGGCGCGGCCGCAGAGACGCACCAGCCAACGCCGAGCATGCATCGCAATCGCCACCTTATGGGTTTTGCAAACCAAATTGCGGGTGGGTGGGTGGGAGGCCACCTTTTCGTATTACAATCTACATATGATTCTGCCCCTTCGTCCATCCTACTGTCGAATACGTGCTATCCCAGTCAGGCTGGTCTCGACTCCCCCCGCCCGTCCTCTGCAACAAATATTATGCGCGCGCTCTCGTTTATCAAGAACCATAAACGAATCGATGGCGAAACACAAAAACCAAGTGCAGACGCGCGCGACGTCGCGCGCGCATGCCGGAATCCCCCAACAACCCTCGATTTCGGAAGGATTCCAAAACCGAGTTTCCCCTAAAAACATGCAAGCACACAGGGTTTCGCAACACTGATTTGCTACGCGTGCGCTCTTGCGACATCTTAAGACCACCATCGGTTCTTCAAGACTTCCAAGGAATACTACCAAACGGGCTTCGCGCGACCGCATGTCGAAATCTTTCGAAACCCCTTGCGCGCGTGCCGTCGCGAGAATCCTTTGCAAAAGCTTGGGGCGAAGTGCAGACGCGCGCGGCGTCGCGCGCGCATGCAGAAATTCTTCAGAAACCTTCGGTTTCGGAAGGGTTTCAAAATCGAGTGTCCAAAAACACATACAACAGCACATGGTTTCGCAACACGAATTTTCAACAACAGCGTACGCGCGCGATCTTGCGTCGTCGTCGTCGTCGTCGCCGTCCTCCCTCCTCCCTCGTCGTCGTCGTCGTGAACGTCGTCGTCCTCTGTCTTTCTTCGTCGTCGTCGTCTTGGCGTCGTCGTCGTTTCCGTCGTCGTTGCCGCCGTGGCCGTCCTTCCTCCCTCGTCGTCTTCGTCGGCGTTTCGCCGTTGTCCCTCCTATTTCGTCGCCGTCGTCGTCGTCGTCGTCGTCGTTGTCGTCCCTCCTCCCTCGTCGTTGTCGTCGTCGGCGTCGCCGTCCCGTCCTTTTTCGTCGTTCGCGTCGTCGCCGTCCTCCCTCTTCCCTCGTCGTTGTCGTTGCCGCCGTCGTCGTTCTCCCTGCTCCTTCGTCGTCGTCGTCTGCGTTGGCGACGTCGTCGTCGTCGTCGTCGTCGTCGTCGTCGTGGTCTTCGTCGGCGTCGTGGTCGTCGTCGTCGGCTTCGTCGCCGCCGTCGTCGTCGGCGTCGTCGTCATCGTCGTCGCCGTTGTCATCGTCGTCGTCTTCGGAGTCGGCGTCGTTGTCGTCGGTGCCGTCGTCGTCGTCGTCGGTGTCGGCGTCGTCGAAGTCGTTGGAGACGTCGTCGGTGTCGTAATAATCGTTGTCGGCGGCGTCGTCGTCGCTGTCGCTGTCGTCGTCGGTGTCGTTGCCAAGTGCCACTTGGTACCCACCGTCACGGTCTTAAGAGGTTTTGCAAACCAAGTTGCGGGTGGGTGGGTGCAATGTTTGCGCGAGCAGTGGGGTGGACAAATCACTGCGAACAGAAATTAATCGCACCACAGAGATCGCACCGCATATGCTGCATTGCATCGGTCGCACTGCGTAGATTGCACCACACTGATTCTCCTTTCTAAAATAAAAATCGACCCTACCCCCCCGAATTATTGATTTCCCTCTTCGTATTGCAATTTACATATGGTTCTGCCCCATCGTCCATCCTACCTGTGGGTTCAAACTGTCCCAGCCAGGCCGGTATCGACCCCCCCCGCTATCCTCGGCGAAAAGTGCTATGCGCGCGCACTCGTTTATCAAACATCAACAGTTTCCAAGCATCCATTGCAAAAGCTTGGGGCGAAGTGCGCTCGCGCGCGTCGTCGCGCGCGCATGCCGAAATCCTTCAAAACCTTCGGTTTCTGAAGGATTTCAGAATCGAGTTTCCACAGCACATACAAACACACATAATTTCGCAACAAGGATTTCCCCAAACAGATTACACGCGCGCTCTTGCGACATCTTAAGAACACCATACGGTTTTCAATATTTTCAAGGAAGATTACCAAACGGGCTTCGCGCGCGCGCATGTCGAAATCTTTCGAACGCCCTTGCGCGCGTGCCGTCGCAAGAATCCTTTGCAAAAGCTTGGGACGAAGTGCAGACGCGCGCGGCGTCGCGCGCGCATGCAGAAATTCTTCAGAAACCTTCGGTTTCGGAAGGGTTTCAAAATCGAGTGTCCAAAAACACATACAACAGCACATGGTTTCGCAACACGAATTTTCAACAACAGCGTACGCGCGCGATCTTGCGTCGTCGTCGTCGTCGCCGTCCTCCCTCCTCCCTCGTCGTCGTCGTCGTGAACGTCGTCGTCCTCTGTCTTTCTTCGTCGTCGTCGTCTTGGCGTCGGTGCCCAAAAACACATACAAAACAAATGGTTTCGCAACACGGATTTTCAATAAAAGAGTGCGCGCGCGCGCTCTTGCATCATCGTCGTCGTCGCCGTCCTCCCTCCTCCCTCGTTGTCGTCGTCGCCGTCGTCGTCCTGTGTCTTTCCTCGTCGTCGTCGTCGTCGTCCTCTTTGGCGTCGTCATCGTTTCCGTCGTCGTTGTCGCCGTGGTCGTCCTTCCTCCTCCCTCGTCGTCGTCGTCGTCGTCCGTCGTCGGCGTCTCGTCGTCGTCCCTCCTATTTCGTCGCCGTCGTCGCCGTCGCCGTCGTCGTCGTCGTCGTCTTCCCTCCTCCCTCGTCGTTGTCGTCGTCGGCGTCGCCGTCCTCCCTCCTTCTTCGTTGTTCGCGTCGTCGCCGTCCTCCCTCCTCCCTCGTTGTTCTCGTCGTTATCGCCATCGTCGTACTCCCTCCTCCCTCGTCGTCGTCGTCGTCGTCGTCGGCGTCGGCGACGTTGTCGCAGTCGTCGGCGTCATCGTCGCCGTCGTCGTCGGCGGCGTCGTCATCGTCGTCGACGACGTCGTCGTCGTCGTCGTCGGCGTCGGCGACGTCGTCGTCGTCGTCGTCGTCGTCGGCGTCGTCGTCGTCGTCGGCGTCGGCGTCGTCGTCGTCGAAATCGTCGGAGACGTCGTCGGTGTCGTCAGAGTCGTCGTCGGCGTAGTCGTCGTGGTCGTTGTCGCTGTCGCTGTCGTCGTCGGCGTCGCTGTCGTTGCCAAGTTCCATTTGGTACCCACCGTCACGGTCTTAAGGAGTCTTGCGACCAAGTTGCGGGTGGGAGGGTGGGATGTTTGCACGAGCAGTGGAGAGGACAGTTTCAAGGCAGCCAAAGTGCATTGCACCACATAGATTGCACCGCGTAGATTGCATTACATAGGTGACACCGCGTAGACTGCACCACGTAGATTGCATCGCAGAGACTGCACGGCACAGATTGCATAGCACAGGTTGCGTCGCATACGTTGCATCACGCAGACTGCACCGCATGGACTGTAAGAACCTGCTGCTTGGGGTCCGCGCTGGCTGCCCCATCTGTTGAGCAATAAATATCCAATACGAATCCTCCTCCTCCTCCTCCCCCTCCCCCTCCTCCTCCTCCTCCTCCTCCTCCTCCAATACGAACCCCCTATTCTCACTCGTGGCCACCATGGCGAGACGACGACTTCGGCTGCCCCCGGCAGGCCTCAGCCGGTCCCGCCGCGGGGCGCCGGCGTCCGCGCCCCCGAAGCGCTCCCCCAGGCCGGCCAGGTAGTCCACGGCCGCCACCACGCCGGCGAGCGCCTCGTGGTTCTGGGTGCCGACCTCGCGGCCAGGAGCCGCCACCGTCGTCCTCGCCGCCGTCGGCATCTCCGTCGTCGTCGCCGCCGTCGTCGCCGCCGTCGTCGTCGCCGTCGCCGCCGCCGCCGCCGTCGTCATCGTCGTCGTCGTCGTGGTCGTCGTCGCCGCCATCGTCGAGGTTAGGGATTTGTTGGCAGAGATGTTCGAAAGTACTTGTCCCTTTTAAGGCCTCGAGTCCACCGTAGACCTCAGGGCATCGTCGTCGTCCTCGTCGTCGCTGCCGCTGTTGCCGTCGTCGCATGTGCCGTGTTCTTCGTCGTCGCCGTCGTCTTCAGCGTCGTCGTTACTGTTTACGTTGTCACAATCCTCCTCGTTGCCGTCGTTGTCGCCGTCGCTGCAGCCGTCATCATCATGCGTCGTCGCCGCCATCGTCATTGTCGTGGTCGTCGTCGTCGACGTCATCTTTTTGCGTCGTTGTCATAGGGGATGGAGAGGGGAGGGCACATGAGGAGAGAGAAAGAGGAAGGAGGGAAAGGGGGAGGAGGACGGTAGGCGAGGGGAGGAGAAGGGGAAAGAGGGGGAGGGGAATACTGTAAGGATGGGAATGAGACAGGGTACGGGAAGGAGGGGGGCGGAGAAAGGAGGAGGAGGACGACGACGGTGGATGGGGAGGGGAGAAGAGGAGGACGACAATGAGGAGGTGGAGACGGATCAGGTGGAGGGTGGGAGGGGAAGAAGATGGATGAGGAAGGAGGAGAAGAGAAGTTGAGAGGAGACAGAAAAAGGGGAGGAAAAAGGAAGTGGAGGAAGGATGCAGAGAGATAACAGGAATTTGCAGAACAGAAAAGGAGAGGAGCGCCTGAAGACCTGAGAAGGCTGAGGAAGGAGAAGAAGGAGGGATGGTGAGGCAGGAGGATGATGGTAAGAGGAGGGGGACAGGGAGGCGGCAGAGGGAGGATGAGGGGGGATGAAGAAAGAGACGCAACAGGAGGAGAGTGAGAGAATGTGGAAACGGAGGGAAGAGGGAGGAGGAGCGGAGGGAGGGAAGAGAGGAGGCTTAAAGAGGAGGGGGCACGAACTGATCCTCCTCCTCCTGCAGGGGTGAGCGGGCGTCTCCCTGCGCTGTTTTCTTGCTTGTTGCCATGCGCCACAATGGTCGTGTAAATTGTTTGCTTCTAATGCGTACGTATGCTGTTCTACGGGCTGACAGTGGGCCTTCGATGGTCATATGGCCCCCCTCCTCTTTGAATGCGAGCAGAGCGACGACGATAGTGCTGACCTTGACGACGGCGACGCCCCCCCAGCAAAAACCGACCCCTGACCTCGAGGCGGACCAAGCGGTGGCGACGAGAGCCGCCCCAGAGGCACCCCCCCAAGAAACGGCGAAGAACGCTCAGTCCGTCGTGCTCCTCATCGACGTCCTCTCCTGAGCCCAACTTTCTCCATCCTGACGTCGCCGATGCACGGGCGATGCGATGCGATCCTTTGAGCCCGTCTGCACTGAGCCCACCCGGGCGACCTCCATTGGCTCCTCTTCAGCCTCTCGGACCGCCGCCTCGCCGGTGCACCGGCGATGCGGCTCGACGTGGAGCCCCGTTTTCCCCACGGCGATGGCGCAGCTGCATCGGACCGTCAGAACCGGACGACAATCCCGAGTTATCGCAAACTCGGGTCTTACGTTTCCAAGGACCTCGGTAGAAGAATCCTCCTCCTCCTCCTCCTCCTCCTCCTCCTCCTCCTCCTCCTCCTCCTCCTGAGGCAACTGGAGAAACACAACCGCTCGACGGTCCGCGCGGCGTTCTTGTGTCGGCGCTGGAGCCCCCCGGCGGCGCCTAACGGCGCCGCCCCCGGCGCGCTCCGCGCTCCGGGGATGGGGGTCTGCGCCGATCTAAGGAGGAGGAGGAGGAGGAGGAGGAGGAGGAGGAGGAGGAGGAGGAGGAGGAGGAGGAGGAGGAGGGGAGGCGGAGGAGGAGGAGGAGGAGGAGGAGGGAGGGGGATGCGGGGGAGGAGGAGGAGGAGGAGGAGGAGGAGGAGGGGGATGCGGGGGAGGAGGAGGAGGAGAGGAGGAGGAGGAGGAGGAGGAGGAGGAGAGGAGGAGGAGGAGGGGAGGAGGAGGAGGAGGAGGAGGAGGAGGAGGAGGAAGAGTCCGCGCGGACCTCCGCAAGTGTGCGTGTGCGATGTTTGCCCCCCTTCGATTGCACCTTTTCCGAGGCGGGGATCTATCCATACCCACCGCCTGGGGGATCGCTCCTCGGGAACCCTGGCAAGCGGGTGGAAATGGATAGTTCCCCGCATCAGACCTTTGGCAGCACTCGGCCCAACCACGACCGACGGCGGGGTTGCCGCCCTCCGAAATCGAGGGGGACAGAACTGAACAGACATGCCTACAATTTCGGAGGTCCGGACGGAGTTCTCGGATCTGCGCTTGCATCCCACCTCCGCGCGACAGGGGTGCGCAGTACCGATCCGAGACATCCGCGCGCGGAGCTCCGAGAGTTTGCGTTTTCGACGTGTTGTCTTCTTCCCCTAGACCCCTGTAGCCCTAGACTTAGGTCGGGCAAGTCCCCCTACAGGCGGAGTTTGGATGGACAAACTCAACACGTACCTCAACATGTAGAACACATGTCTAAGAACTCGCCCCCCGACCACGTTTGACTCTTCTGGAAGATCCCTCCTGTGGAGGGACATGCCCGACTGACTCGAGCCCTAGACGCCCTCCGAGAATCGACCACGAACAAAACGACACAAACGTCATCTCTTGGAGGCCCGCGCGGGCTCCTCGGGCCGGCGCCCGGGCCCCCCCTGGCCGCGCCTCCGCGCGCCACGGAGAAGGGCCGCGCGCCGATCGGACGGACGTTCGAGAAGCGATGCTTGTGCCGCTGCTCGCTCCTCCAGAGAGAAGGCGACTGACCGGGCTCCACGTCGAGCCGCATCGCCGATGCGGAGCGATCCTTCGAGCACCCATCTGCTCGGACCCCATCTGGGAGGCCCAGGGAGGAGGCAAAGGAGCGCCGCGCCTCCCAGCGGGACATGTGGCAGTTGTCGTCGCAGGGTAGGCGGTCGTCCTGCACGTCGAGGCGGTCAACCGGCAGCTCGGCCAGCAGCTCCGACCTCTTGAGGTCCAACGCCGTGGGAAAAATGCAACAGAGCGAGAACTCGCGACCAGAACCTTTCGGCTTCGACGTCGTCCCTATCTTTCAGACGGACGAGCCCGAACGCGATGGACGCGTCCTCAGGAACTCATGGGGATCCTGAAGATCGTTATCGAGATCAGGTGATGTATGTTCCAGGCTGGCAGAGAACCCTCCGCAGACTTCCAGCGTGTCGGACACACCGAATCGTTGTTTCACATACTGCTGGGAGCCCTCGTTGAAGGAGGGCCGCTCTCCAGCCCACGCCGCGGCGCGCGAAGCGCGACACTCTTTGCACGCGCGCGGGTGACCCAGGCCTCTGCCGACGCCTCGAGTAGGTAGGGAGCCCACAAAGGACGTACGCGCCCAGCTATGTACATGAACACGGCCCCTCGATCCGTGAGACCGGCCGCGTTATACGAATATTTGCGCAATGTGAACTCTCGAAACCAGCGTGGATTCATGTACATGTACGTCCTTTTTCCGCTCCTGAGTAGGGCTGGGGGGGTCAGGCCCGCCTGCAGAACACCCCACACGGACGTCAGGGGGCGTAACCAACCCTGCTCGGTCCAGCTGAACCTGACGCACCACGCCCAGCGCCGAGCCCAAACTCTGGACACCTCGCGAAGCGAATGGCTGGATGTTGCCCTTCTTCGTCGGCTTAGCCGGCGAGGCCTTCGACCGCCTCGACGTCCCCTTACTGGTGGTCCTGCAAAGGACCGCGCTCTCTGACCCTTGGCCCTACTCGGTCTATGCCCTCAGCCCGTCGCACTCCATTCGCGCCTCGCCGTCGTCGTGCTCGTCATCGTCGTCGCTGCCGCCGCCGCCGTGGCCGTCGAAGGGCCTCGGTCGGGCGTCGGGTTTTTGTTGGGCGCTTTTGCGGAGGCCTCTGTGGAGATCTCTGGCCGCCGCTGCCGTCGCCAGGGTGGCGGTGGTCGTCGTCACCGTCGTCGGCGTCGGTCGGGGATCAAGGTGTGTGGGCGTCCTCGGAGGCCTCCAGAGCCCTCTGGGCTTAGGTCGGGCATGTCCCCCTACAGGCGGATTTAGCAGGACAGATGAAACAGACCCCCAAAAAACAAAAATAGCCAAAGATAGTCGAAGAGTCGTCCCCAGACAATTTTGGACTATTCTTGAATATTCCTCCTGATGGACACGCCTGACTTAACTCTGGGCGGGCGACCAGCGCCGTCGTCGTCGCCGTCGAGGTCGACGGTCGAGGCTCACTGGATGCCTCTGGCGGATCTCTCGTCGCCGCCCTGCGGGACGCGGCTCGAAGGGCTGCCCAGGACGGAATCCGGAAGGGGTCCGAAGGAGGAGGCGGAGGAGGAGGAGGCGGAGGAGGAGGCGGAGGAGGCGGAGGAGGAGGCGGAGGAGGAGGAGGAGGAGGAGGAGGGGTCCGGAGGAGGAGGCGGAGGAGGGGTCCGGGTCTGGGGATGGGTCTCAAAAGGATTTCTGCCGCCGTCGTCGACGGAGATGAAGAAGAGGACGGCAGTGACGTCGACGGGGCCGACGGCGGCGGAGATTTCTGCATTCCTCTCAACTCCTTGGGCCTCTGGGGCGACCCCCGGCGCAACCGCTGGATTCGCCTCGTCTGGTCAGGCCGCGATCCACGAGAGGTCTGGGAGCGTCGATCGTCGACGTCGTCGTTATCGTTTGCGTCCTCGTCGCAGCCGTCGGCGTAGTCGAGGTCATCGTCGTCGTCGGGCTTGTCGCGGTCGTTGCCGTTGCCGTTGCCGTCGCCGTCGCCGTCGCCGTCGCCGTCGCCGTCGTCGTCGTCGTCGTCGTCGTCGTCGTCGTCGTCGTCCTCGTTGCCGTCGTCGCAAGCATCGTCGCTTGCGATGCCGTCGATGCCGTCGTTGCCGTCGTCATTTTCGCTTTCGTCGAGGAGGTTGCCGTCGTCGTCGTCGTCGTCGTCGTCGTCGTCGTCGTCGTCGTCGTCGTAGAGGAGGGGGGACGAGAGAGGAAGTGGGTGTATGAGGTAGGATGGGAGATGAATGGAGGAGGAGCGTGAGAACGGGGGAAGAGGGAGGAGGAGAAGGAGCCGGGAAGGAGAAAGGAGGACGATGCGGAGCAGGGACGAGGCAGCAGGACACGAAGAAGGTGGACGAGGACCGCGCTATGGAGGGGGACGGGACCGCCCGAAGAGCACGCCAGAGTGCGGCCCGAAGAACTTGTACGGCGAGCAGGCCAGCATGTCGCAGCCGATCGCCTCCACGTCCACATGCCCGTGGGGCGCGTAGTGCACGGCGTCGACGTACCTGCGTGGGCTCGGGCACGGCGACGACGACGGCGGCGACGATCTCGACGGCGTCGTCGACAGCGACTGCGACGGCGGCGAGCTCGACGACGAACACGACGGCGACGGCGACGGCAACGTCACCGACGGCGGCGACCGGGCGAAACGGTGCGCTGCAATGCGGTCTCCCGTGGGTGGGCGCACGCCGGGGAAGCGCGGGGCCGAGGGCCCGGGGAGGAGGAGGAGGAGGAGGAGGAGGCGGAGGAGGAGGAGGAGGGGGGGAGGAGGAGCAGGAGGAGGAGGAGGAGGAGGAGGAGGAGGAGGAGGAGGAGGAGGAGGAGGAGGAGGAGGGAGGAGGAGGAGGAGGAGGAGGAGGAGGAGGAGGGAGGAGGAGGAGGAGGAGGAGGAGGAGGAGGACCGGGAGGGACGTCGGGCTCGGATCGCCCGCAGTCCTTGGGCTGCCACGAATAGCGCCACGCTAGGAGCGAATGGGCTTTGCCGGCCAGCCTCTACCACGAGTAGGCTCCACAGCGTAGACCTGCGGAGCGGCCCGAGCAGTCGCCAAACGTGGTGGTGACAACACCCGGCGGTGAGTCTCGGGCGATTTGGTGTCACCACTCGGTTTGGGGACTCGCGTGCTTTTTCGAGGATGCCCCCGAACGCTGGTGGGTCCAGGAGTCACAAAGCCTGGCGGTGACCCCGTGTCTCGAAACCGGCGGTGACTTTTTGGGGATTCCAGGTCACCACCTGATACCTCACCTCACCACCTGGTTTGGGGGCTCCCAACTCTGACGGCCGCTCGGGACGATTCGGGCACCTCTGGCATGCTCTCGGCGAGGCGCAGCTGCTGGAACGCCACCCGGGGCGGGAGAACCTCCAGGAACCTCCAGGCGCCGTGCGTCTGGCTCCTCCAGAACGCTCTCGGCGAGTGGCAACTGCTGGGGCGCAGCCAGAGGAAACATCAACGGCGTAGCTATAAACCTTTGAAGGGCCCCGCGGACTTCTTGGATCTGCGCTGAACCCCCCTTCCTGGCGCGGCGCTGGAGGCGCCGCCAGGAGGGGGGGGCAGCGCAGACCCGAGAACTCCGCGCGGAGCTCCGCGATGGGATGCGGTGGTAGGGTTCGGATTTCGCCACGCGTCCGACGAACTCCGAAGCCTACCCCCGCCGCCCATCGAGTTGCACGAACTGGTGATCGGCGAGGGAAGGGTTCGTGTCGCCGAGCGTTTCGTCGTCTTCTTCTTCTTCTTCTTCTTCGAACACCCTTGGGCGTCGATTATTGGTGGGCGATATGTGGGGGGAGGGGGAAAGAAAGGCCCAGAAAGGGCCCCCTTTCGGGCCCTACAGGGCCCCTTGAGGGGCCCCCTTTGTGGGGCCCCTTTTCTGCAGCCCTCGCTGCCCCCCCCTCCTATCTATTGCCCCCCCCCCCCCCCATAGACGCCCCAAACACGAGGCAAGAAACCTCGGGGCGTCGTGCGCCGCACGGCACATCCGTTGGGGCCCCGGCCACCGCAGCGCGCGGCCGCCGGACAGCTCCTCCGCGCGGGCGCACACCGCCCGCACGTCGTGCACGCTGCCGGCGCCGTTCGAGGCTGCGCCTGGCGGGCCAAGGCGCCCGCCGACGCCGCCGCCGCCGCCGTCGTCGCCGCTGCCGCCGCCGTCGTCGCCGCCCCCGCGAAAATGATCGGGGAGTCCCCACGGCCCGCCCTGCGCCTCCACCCTCCGCATGTGCCCTCGCCGCTGGGGGGCTGGAGTGCGGGATGCTGCCGGCGAGCGGGGTGCGCGTCGGGGGGTCATGCAGCAAGATGACAGAGGAGCTGGAAGGAGCGGGCGTTGGAGGTCCCATGGAGAACTGGCGGGGGCCGAAGCGAGCCCGAAGAAATGGTTGGGAGGCGGCCGCCAAAGCTGGGAATTCTGGAGGGGAAACCAGCCAAGGCTGGAGAGAGCGGAAGGGCTGGCCCTGGCCACTGGGGACGATGAAAAGCGATACCATCTCCAGCGCGAGGAGCCAGGGTCCTCTTGGTGGTGCGGTCCCCCGGGCCATCTCCAATCTAGCCCACGGCTCAGGGAGGCACTGTGGACCTCCGGGCTGGAGGTGGCCCTCCTGGTGGTGGTGACGTCGCTTCACTTTCCTCCGAAACCGCTTTTTCAAGCTTCCCTTCTGCACTGTGAGGATGCACTGTGAGGATGGAGGGCCTTCGGGCGTCCAAGCTGCAGCAGCTGCACACCGGCGCGGGCGTCCAGCGAGAAATCGGCCCCAGGAAGAGACGCACAATGTTGGGGATTCGCGGGCCCCCGTCGGGGACGTGTCCTCGAGGCCAGCTTGACCGTAAGACCGAACGTCGAAAGCCTCCAGAATCCACTGGGGCCCTCCGACCTTGAGATCCGACGAAGCGAACAAACTTTTTGATCCGCGGGTCGAGAGCGCACCTCTTCCGGTCGAAGCTAAGCGGGCCGCGCACAGCTTGAATTAACGAGAGGGGGGCAGAAGGAGGGGCCTCACATCAAGGCCAGGGGGGGGCAAAGCCCCGGAATGGGGCGCCGAAGAGAACAAAAACGCGGCATCGCGAAAAAGCACGACCGTTGCCCTCTAGGCCCAACCTTCCTGCGGCAATTTCTCGAGCTGGGTCGACCCGTGGTGGTCCCACCCGAAGAACCGGGCGAACATGCCCACGTGCACAGAAGACGTCGCGCCCAGAGCTCAAGGGACCTCATCCTCCTCCTCCTCCTCCTCCTCCTCCTCCTCCTCCTCCTCCTCCTCCTCCTGCTCCTCCTCCTGGTTTTCGGGCCGTTTCTGAGATCTGGGTCGCAGAGCCTCTTTGTGGCCGAGGGTCGTCGTGGCAAGCAGGGGGGACCTCTGTAGGGGAATGGATAATGACATGCACATAAAAACTCGGAGCTCCGCGCGGGTTTCTTGGATCCGCGCTGGGCCCCCCTCCCTGGCGCGCGGAGCGCGCCAAGGGCGGCGCCAGAGGCGCCGCCAGGGGGGTCCAGGCGCGGATCCGAGAAATCCGCGCGGACCTCTGAGTTCTTCTGTTTATGTCACTGCTCGCTCTCATGTCTTATGTCATCGCTGCTCGCGCGAAACAGCGCGGTTACCCTCGCGCCCTCGCACCGCCCCTCCCCCCCCCGGAAAAAGAAAGGCCGACGCCTTGGCCCAGGGTTTTTTTTGCAATCCTAGGTTTGTTTTTGTTTGCAATCCTTTGCAATCATTTTTTTTTTTGTTTGCAATCCGTGTTTTTTGCAATCCTTTTTTTTGCAATCCTTTGTTTTTTTTTTGCAATCCTTCATGCAACCGTGAAGCGCGGCCGCCTTCGCGCGACCCCGTTGGCGGCCTGGGGGCCAGCTGGCCACGGCAGGCTCACCCACTGACCCGCTCCTCCGGCTCCTCCGGCTCCTCCTCCTCCTCCTCCTCCTCCTCCTCCTCCTCCTCCTCCTCCTCCTCCTCCTCCTCCTCCTCCTCCTCCTCCTCCTCCCCCTCTCCTCCTCCTCCTCTCCTCCTCCTCCGGTCAATTTTTGGCTATTTTCGGCCCCTGGGGGCCCCGCGGGACCGTCAAAGAACGACTCAGGACGAAAAGCCGGTCCCGGGGAAGGGGTCCAGACCTCTGGGGGTCGACGTTGTGAACAAGAACCATGACGTCGGGGGTCTGGGGAGGAGTGTCGCCACTTCCTCGAAGAGGCGCCATTCTCCTGAGATCCGGGCGTCGCTGTTCTTATACACTCCCAGCAAAGACAGCCCCAAACGTCCAAAGACCCTGCCGAGCTTCGCTCTGGAACCGCGACCGTCAGGAGGAGCTGGAGACCCTCAGGGTGACCCCCTTGGAGCATTTTTCGTTGCTCGCGAAATCGCCCGCGACCGGCCCGAACCCTACCTCCCCAGGTCGCATCACGATTCGCGGTGGCGCTGTCTGGGAATGAACCATTATCTAGGCATTCCTAGATGGCGCCGGCGCGAATTTCGACGTGACGGGCCCCCTCCCCCCTGGTTGCGCCCGAAATCTTGGGTCGGGCAAGTCCCCCTACAGCCGGATTTTGGACGAATAATTAAAGATAGTCCAAGAATATTCAAAATCAAACAAAACATGCTAGAAATATCGTCTCCAGACTTTTTTGGTGACTATTTTTGCATATCCTCTCTGTAGAGGGACATGCCCGACGTAAGCGTGATAAAATGTTAGACGCTCTTCTTGGCACTGCCCGAAGGGTGAACAAACATTCGGGGCAAACAGTTCATCCTGGAAGCAGCTTGACCTCCCCTGCTCGCGCGCCGCATTTCCCGCGCGCGGGAGTGGCGCACTTTGCACGGCGGGCTCGTGTTGCGACGAGCCTGGCGTTGGCTTGTGCCTGAAACTTTCGGCCTTGAACGATTGGCGGCTCTTCATTCGCCAAATCGCTCCATGTTGGCCGATATTGGGCCACTAACTCAGGTCGGGCATGTCCCCCATACAGGCGGATTTTGGACGAAGAATTAAAAATATTTTAAGCATGCTCAAAAATGGCCAAGCATTGTCCAAACGTCGTCCCCAGACCATTTCTTTATTATTTTTGAATACTCCTCCTGGCCCGACTTGAGACTGGGTCACTGGCGGCGCTCAACCTTGAACGCCGGTCGCCGCCGCCGCCTGGACACGGCAAGGCCCTGCTGTGCAGCGGGAAAAGAGGTGGATGACCTCTGCAGCAGGGCTCGACCCAAGCAGTGCTTCTTCGTCTTCGCCTTGTGTTCGTGTTCGTTTTCGTTTTGTTTTTTTGTTCTGATTTCGCTTTCGACAGAAATCGTGTTTTTCGTTTTCGCTCAGTTTTTTCGCTCTCCCTCGCTTTTTGCTCGCCCGCCGTCCGTCGCGGGGCGAGGACGAGTCGCGAACCGGGGCCCGAGGCCCGCAGCGCGAGATACAGCAAGCAAACACGCGCGACAACAAAAAACCCTGTCAGAAGACACCCAAAGTAATAACAATAAGAATCACTCTCGCGCTGCCAAAACGCCACTCCCAGGCCACATTTTGAATGCCCGGAGCCAACTGTAGGCCATTTCGCGTTCTTCGTGCCATTCCCGGGCCACATTTTGAATGCCCGGAGCGAACTGTAGGCCACTTCGTGTTCTTCGTGTT